CGGGGTTATGTTCTGGACTGGAACAATATGTGGAACAACATACCCATCTCATCATGATAAGAAAGACATCAGCTTCTTCATTATAATTTTGTACACAAACCATACAGACGCTTTACACTGAAATTAACAGACAATCCCAGCTGTATAAAACGTGCTCTGAACATAAACAGCACTTATCTTCATATTTTTTGGGAATGTAACTCTGTGTCTAGCCTCTGGTCCAGGGTGCGTGCTTTTAAAATCTTTTCGGATTTCCCATTCCTATGCAAATTCTCGTTCGGCCCGCTCCCTTTGCTCTACTTCTCCTCTTTCTATTTACTTTTGTGAACCATGTAAATGCGTACATATGGGTGTCTGTGTATGTGTCTTTAATTGGAAGCCAATGGCGTTATGTTTGTAAATGTTTAATAAAAAAGTAAAAAACAGCTGAAAATATTTTTTTCTATTTTCATTCACATTTATTTTTAGCATGTTTTATTTCATCCATAATTTAACATCCTACATGATTTCCTTGCTGTCGCTGTTTAAAGTTTGATTACAGTTGAATCGTGTTGAACTGTGTTGAATTGTGTTGTACTTTGTCGCGGCTGAATGTCGCTGCTTTCAGCAGGTGATTGAAATAAGCTTCTTCCTCATTTTCACGCCTGGACGTTTGCTCAGTCATGGGTTCCCGTCTAGTGCCAATGAGTGGATGAGACAGCAGTTAGCTGCCTGGGTCTCTGTGAGTCTTTGTCCATCACGAGCCGGCAATACAGATAGCTGCTGTTTTTTTAAGGCCCAACTCCCTCAGAGGGAATCTGTCCTGAGGTTATGCTGCATTTTCAAAGATAACAGCTGCGCTGGAACAAAAAGGTCTTTGCTCTCCCAGTCAGACTTCTCCCTCTGGGTTGGATGATACTTAAACCCGTTACTTTTTTCCTTTTTCCACTTCAAAGAGAGGCTTTCACTGGCCCTGATGCCTTAGATGTTTGCTGAGTTGTGATGATCTATAGGTCAGCGGTGTGACACAAAAGTCCCTAAAGACGGCAACAGGAGTTGTGAATGAACACCAGGGATGCTCCAATGAAGTGGAATTATGAAGCACAACAAACGAAGAAGCCCCGGAAAGCGAGGTCCTCTCTGAATCAGCCGGCTTCAGTTCACAGTCTGTGTCTTTAGGTCCAGAGACTCGAGCATATATCGACGTTTTAAAGTGTCATTCTATTCTAATGCGCCCTGCAGGTCACAGGAATCTTTATCAAAGTAATTATCTTGATCCAATCAGTGTTTGCCGACATAGTGCCGCCCACTGAGAGAAAACCAAATCACTTTATTGCACTTCTTTCACAGAACACGAACCCTCAACCCCTATTCCAAGAAGACTCTCACATCACATATTTGTCTGAGGTGAAACTCAAATGCTAAATATAATTGACTCTACAAGGAGGTCAACAGCAACTGACCTCAAATGAGGAATAAAATTGACAGGCACCGCTTATCGTCCAACAGGCTGCCCCTGATGGACAGTGCAACAGGTTAAACTGCTAAAAATGTCTCCAAAAAAGGGCTAAAAACCACTAAAACAGAACTGGAAGATTAAATAAAAGGGACTCTGATGACCAAACGTGAAAAATAAGCTTAACATTTCAAGTCAAACGGGCACAGGAATAACCAAGGAAATGGTCAAAACGAATAATAAAGATAACAAATTAAAAAAGGGACCAAAAAAGGGACCATAAATATAAACAAGCAGAGAGGATTATTTACTACAATATTAAATCCATAGATAGTTAAAAACACATGTATAGATAATTTTCTCCAGTAAATGAACATTCATAAACATTTAAAATGCCCCAAAACTTGTGTTGAAACGTGAATATTTGCAGAATTTGCAGTGAATTCAGATCCTACTTTAAAAAGGAGGGTCCATTAAAAGGAGAGGCTCATCGCCGCACAGTGAGCTTGTGTTCTCACTGTCCACAAAAGCTTTCTGAATGGTTTTGTTCTTTCAGGTGAGGAAACCTCACACCAACAAGAGGACAAGTTGTAACCAGAAATCACGCGCTCCGCACTTTTTACGCACGTCTTCTGGAGCTGTGAGCGCTCTTTTACCCGCGAGCTGCGCGCTGCACGTGCACTCACTGAGCCCCTGGCTCCACACAAAACGCCAAACAGAGTTTTTATAACGTCGTGCAAATGCAAAATCATACAGAAAATGAATGACTTAGCAGAACTTACCGCCAGTCCAGGCTGTTGGAGGCGACAGGAGCTAAAATGAAGAGCAGAGATGATTCATCTTCTCCTACTTTTGAGCCAGGACGGCAGAAACAGGCTCTACGTTTTTCCTCGGAGACGAAACCCGCAGCAGGTCGGTTTGACTAACCACCTACATCCAGGAAACAAACAAGACGCTGCGTTTTCGGCGGAGAGAGAAACGAAAACACTTCTGCTTTGGTGGCTCCGTCCGCACAGATGCGCCCGGGTCCCGCTCCTCTCCCTCACAAAACATCATGTGGCTGGTTAAAGGCTGCTTCCTCCCCAGGGGCGGACCGGTCAGAGGATGAGACTACATAAAGCGGCTCTGAAACCTGAGCCGGGACTGGCGGATTCCGGTTACTTCTCACAACCAGAACTGCGCGTAATCGCAGCTCTGTGAGCGTCGACTGGTCATGTCTTAGGCTGGGACATCATGAGACAAAGATGACAACTAAAATGTCTGTTGAATGTCTTTTATATTTATATATATATATATATATATAATTATTTATAACTGCAGTTACTGCCATAAAAATAAAGCAACACCACCAGGCAGCATTTTCTTACAAACGGTTATCATCATAGTGCGCCCTTAATACTGTAGCTTAGTGCTTTTTACACAAATGCAGTCATGTTCATTCAGCTTTTACTTGGCAAATGGACTTCTTCAGCATTACATGTCGTGTAAGGGGGGGCTTTTCTCGTGTGAAAAAGACCAAAAAGTACGACAATCTGCATTAAACTGCAAAAGAAAAACAAAGCAAACAAGGCAACGTGGAAACAAAACGACAAAATAACTGAAACGGGTTCAGTGGAATTCCTCCAATATTTTCAAGTAAACAGAGAAATGAATCTAACAGGATGTAGTGGACTCAGAGCGGGTTGTGTGTGTGTGTGTGTGTCTTTTAAGGTCCCCACACCAGGTAAGGTGTCCGGCATGGCGCGTGGCGTGGAGGTGGAACGCGTCTCCTGGCTTTCCCTCTGGCCTCATCCATCACTCCACTACTGCGCACGCCGACCTCGTTAAAAAGAAAAAAAAGTCACCAGGATCACCAAAACTTGGTCAAAATGCCAGGATCCTGTCGGGAGCCACAGAACTCACGGGCCAGAGGTGGAAGAGAGCGCGGCGCAAAGCTAGAAACCCCCAAATCGTCGATATGGGGAGATTACCAGAGAAAGGCCGTTAAATAACAGAGATGGGCTGTGTGGAGGAGCTGGGTGGGCTGTAGCGCTGCCGGGGGGTTCGGAGCTCCCCGTCGCCCACTTCCAGCGTTTCTAAGAGGCACTAAACAACAACCACCTGGGTTTACTGGCGAGGCACCTAAAAAAAAATAAAAGCCCCGTTTTTAAGGAACAGAGGCCGCAACTGAACTCTTTAAGGCAGCAAATCAGAGCGGGGCGCGGACAGCTTATGTTAAGACACGCAAACGAAGCGCATTCTTCAGATGTTTTAGCGTTTTGGGGGAGAAAAAACGACGTTTTTCTCATGTTTAACTGCTTCATAAGAGGCAAAAGCCAGCAGGTGTAACAAGACAGGAATAATCCGGCTCTGGCCTGAGGTTAAAGAAAACTACCTCCACCTCTAAAAGTTCTAGTTTAATCTGTGTGAAACTGCCCTTGGCAGGAGGAACGGTGTCCCGAAATAACCTCTGCAGGATCTACATACAAATGTGTGTAAAGAGTGAGGGTGCAGCTCCATGTAGCCTGGATAGAGTCAGGGTTGATATTTGCCTGTTTAAGCCCCAGACTAGACCCAAAAAAAGAGACGTGACTCAGCTCAGAGCTCCGCAGACCTGAGCGTGTTGGTGCTGCCTTGTGCTTATTCCAGGGATCAAAAAGCCAGAAAGCCAACAAGAAAAAAAAGAGAAAGGAGCTTCTGTCGCATTTTTGGCAAATTGTCATCTCCTCAGCTTTAAGAAAACTGGTGTTTGAGCTCATTTCCTGGTGTCCTGCATCAAAACTCACACAGGCACTTCATCCATTCAAATAGTGGCATCTGGATCACACTGTAACATCTGGAAGGGGGTGGGGGGTACAACAAAAAATAACTTCTATTTGAAGTCTGTGGAAGGGGAATTCTAACTGACAACTCAACTTGTTATTGTGTAAAAAAAGGAATATTCATCCATTAAATATTCACAGTAGAAGCAGAAAATGATGATTTGGGAAAGTTTCTATCGTCAGACTGGCGAGAATTCCCCTTAAACAGACAGGAGCCAGGTAGAAGGCACTCCGCTGCTCCTTCAGACGCAAACTGAAGGCTTCCTGCAGTGACCTCATACAGATGTGCTCGTGTGTCCAGTGGGGTTCAGGTGGTGGGGGGGGATCTGTGAGGTATAACAGTTGACTGTAGGGTCAGAAGGTCGGTGGGAGCTCGGCGGGGGCGGTGAAGTCAGGTTTCAAAGTATTTGTAGATGGCGGTGACGTAGGTCATGACGCTCTGCCAGTCCGGCCTCTCTGTGTGCACCATCTCGTTGATGTCCTGCGGCCAAAAGGGGAGAAGGAGAGGTTTGGCTTTAATTTACGTTTTCCATGTCGTCAAGAAACGACAACAGGTCAGAAAAGAAGACAACAGCGGCAGAACTTTTTCTGAGATTCGATTCAACAAAAGTTAATTATAACAATCAAAAGTTTTTCCCCGTTGGCAGTTTAACCCTTTCAGCTCTCTTTAAGCAGGCAGGGGCTTCCTAATGAAAGGGTTTGGGGCATGAAATGTGCTTTATAGGGTATTAAAGGTGGGATTTGACGCAATACGGGTGGGATTTTAAAGGCAGGCGCATCCTAGAGGCGAGGTTTGGGGCATGAAATGTGGTGTTTGGGGCAATAAATGCGTTTTTTGGGACAGGTAAATTGTACAAGTGGCATTTGGGACATTAAATATGGTATTTGGGGCACTACGGGTGGGATTGTAGGGCAGGTGTGTCCTACAGGTGAGGTTAGGGGCATTAAATGTGGAATTTGGGGCATTTAACGTGGGATTTGGAGTAATAAAGGTGCGATTTTAGGTCAGGTGCATTAAATGTGTTTTCTGGGGCATTCAATTTGGTCTTTTGGGAAATTAAAGGTGATATTTGGTGCATTAAATCTGGTATTTGGAGAACTAAGGGCGGGATTTGGGGCAATAAGGGTGATTTCCCGTTTCCCGCCCTTTACCTCCATTTCTGGCTCTGGCTTCTTCATGTTCAAAGGGAGTTTTCTCTCTCCACAGTCACCTCTTGCACGCACAGGATGGCGACTGGAAATCACTTATTTAATAAATTATAACTGGACTGGACTGAAGTGAATCCACGTTTCATCAAAGCATCAGTTCTTTGATCATTCAGTCGAATTTGAGGGCGTACAGAAAAACCCAGTCGCACAGCCTGAGTTTGTAATGAGGGGAAACGGGCAGATAACTGATGTTTATGAGCTTGAAAACAGAACTATAAAAGGCTCACCATCATTGGAAAACAAACCCTGGGTCATCTTTTGGCAATGATTAGCCTCAGCTGAAAGGCAGCTGCCCTGTCAGCTCACTCTAAAGGGACTTTGGGGGGATTGTTTGTCTGTGAAGCTCACCAAAGTGCATTTGATCCCGACGCTCTCAGCCGCCTGGAAGGCCAGTGTGAAGTTTCTCCTCTGAGGAGGAAAGGCCAGAGTCATTTCAGCGTTCGTGCAACAGGTGGTAGGATGGGAAGCAGTGCGGGCTTTGCTTGCCTTGTCGTGGCCGGTCAGCTCCTGGTAGGGGATGTGGGCGGGCAGGTAGGTGTGCAGCAGGGCGCAGAAGGCCAGGCCGTCGTTCCAGCTGCTGCTGAAGTTGGTGATGTCGATGTTCTGCAACACACAGCCCCCATTTAACATTTTTAAAAATCCCAGCAAAACCCATCGGCATGCGGCTCTGGTTGTGCCTCACTCCTGAGGGGCCAGTGGGGCGCTTTGCCCGTTTTACTTTCACAGGAAGAATCACCAAATCTGAACAAATAAAAACCATTCTGAGCAAATAAAATCCATTTTTGTGTTTTTTCCTCTCTCTAAGAACACACACACACACAATATAATTTCCTCTAAATTTGATCTCTTTTCTGCTCTGCTTTCTGTCAGCCTGCTAACTCGGCTTGCACCAGCATAATGTTTGTGCCACGATTCCAACCAATCACAGGCCCAGAGAGAGCCAGCCTGATGGGCTGTTGGTGGCTGCCTCCCCCAAAAAACACGGTAAAACCTATAACTAAAGGGCGGGTCAAAAGTCACAGAAGGTGAGGGGGGCCCATCTTTCAGGCTATGTCCAGAACACAGTCGCCATTTTGGACCAAAGGCTAGTTTTCCCGGTGGGAAGGTGGTCACTTAGCATATAAAAAATTATCTCGGAGAGCAATTGGAGCCATCAGACTTGAATTATTAGGTTGAAAAACTTTGCTGCTTGTTACAGGCAAGTGAAGATGGAATTGATGAAAGAGGAGAGGATTGGGGTCCAGAGAAGGCAGCTGCCACATTACAGCTGCAGACTTAAACTAGCGACTCCCAGGAGGACCGCCGCTTTCTAACAGTTTGATCCTCTCAGGACCGGCGCAGTAAACCCGGCAAACAAACGTGCCTCACCGACAGTTAAATCTGTTGTGGTTCAAAAGTTTGATAACTTTTGAACCACAACAGATTTAGCTAATCTGATTCCAGCAACTGATTTCTGAGACAGTTCTAACCTCCTTTGATACGTTGCTTGACCACCTTCCTGACTTACCCTTGATCCATCATGGCGGCTTTCAAGAAAGCGGCCATGTTCCGACTCTTTAGCTGTGTCCTGTTTTTATTTATTTTTTTAAATGAAGGCATTTTTTTGTCTAATGGAAGATAACCTGTGAGTACAAGCTGCTTTATTTATGCCTTCTGGTTGGCTCACTGCTAAATAATTATTCCTAAAGTCCAAATACTAGCTTAGCAGCACCAAACGACAACCACTTTTGTTCATATTTCATCCAACTCAGTACACAAAGTGATTAACAATCACTTGAGATTCACAATCCAATTAATCTACTATTTATTTAATAATTAAGAAATACAGACCAGTGCATCCCTGTTTGAAATGAAAAAGCAGACCCGGATGTGTTTGTGACACAGCCACAAGCAGCTAATCAGGTAAGACTTTCTGTCAGGCTGCGATTGGTCGGAATCGTGGCAGAAATGTAACGACCTATGAGAAAGCGGATCGCTAAAACTGAGGGGAAGTCGTATTGTAGAAACAAAAATGAGAATTTTCTCACTCTTTCTCCATTATTATATGACACCTGTCCCCTCCTTCAGCCCTCCTGACTGAAGGGAGGAGTTACGACCACCACGTCCGTATCGCCTCCGTCGCAATGATTTACAGAGCGCGTCGTGTTTTTGTCGGACAGGCACTCACAGGATGTGCCAAATGTTGCACACTTCCTGGAGAGGATTTGGGTTGCCATAGCAACCACAACTAGCGGCCTTCCATTGTGGAAAATGACTCTTTACCCTGCCGTTGACTGTTATTTAAATAATTTTTCTGTCAATTCCTGGAGGGGTGCCATCTCTGCATGTTTACACAGACATTCAGAGGCAAAATAAAAAAAGGAGGGAGAAGAGTTGCAAGTCCATGACGCACCTGTGACCCTGGAATCACAACAGACCACCTCTCAGAACCACTTGTAGTATCTAATTGATTCAACCCTTTTGTTTTGGTGCAGATTTAATTGTTAATGGCTGAGTAAATCCCTCCCATCTGTGGTGCCTATTGCGTGTCATGCATAAGGAAGCCACTTTAATGCCTCTCATTTAGGCTCCAGGTCTGCCTGTTGCTCGTCCCCTTCTTTAGTTTGGAAATATCAAGAGTGGATTTTTTCCAAATATTTTTGTTGTATTTCTGTAAAACTGAATGTTTAGCTAAACTAAACAAGATTGAGAAACAAAGAGTTTTATCTGTCTTGTTATCTGTCATTTTGGAAACAGATTAAACTGATTTTGCTCGGGGAGTGTTGATGAAGACGCTGTTTTAGCATAAGTTTAATCTCTTTCCCTTTCCGTCTGAAGGGAAAACATTTCCAATGAGTAGACATATTACAAATCTGAATAAACTTTTGAAACAATTCTGGGGTTCTTTGATATCCTACATGACCAACTTCCCATTGGAAAAACTTGGGCATCATCCAATATGGCAGCTTTCAACCCCCTATGTTCCAGATAGGGGGTTGAAAAAAAAAGGGCTGAAAGGCAGCAAAGTTTCTAAGCGGTTTTGGGACGTCTCCGTTACTCTGGCCCTACTTTCACCATTTACCCCTCTGCCCTAGAAACCAAATAACCACATAATCCTTTGATTGATTGATGTGGTAAATTTTTCCACCAATAGGAAAGGGGTTGTCATTTTTTAAATAATGTAATCTAGTCTTAAAAAAAGTTTGAACATGTTTCATGCCACCATAAGTGGGAAATGATGAACAAAAATCCCTTATTTCTAGAGGCTTTCTTTTCTAGTTTCATAGATTCTTCATGTTATAACTGAACCAGATACCCAAGCAAGCCGACCAATGACTGCTCAGCATCTAAAAAGGACAGGCGCAATCCCTTTTTTTCCCACCCTTCTACAGGCAAACCTGTGAGGTTTGCCCCCAATTTTGTGGTGTATTATCATTTTCCGCTCAAGTCAAGTGAAAAGACTGGGGTGCATTGGTTCGTACCTGATAGCCCTCGGTCTTCTTTTGGCACCATTTCAGCAAAGCATTCCTCTTGGAGCCTCCATACTCCCGGGCCAGAGCTGACAGGGGGTCCTTTCTCTCTTCTCTGTTGCAGACACATGCAAGCAAAAATCTTTTGAAAAAGGGAACAAAATCTGATCTTTTATGAATAATGCTGCCCCCACAGGCTCCCATGGGGAGCTATTCACGACCCTCTAATGCACCCCATCATTCATTAACAGGTTTCTGTCTGTTCCCATGAAGTCCCATCAGTCACAGCCCGGTTCTGCTCCAATTCAAACCAAACCCAAATTGTGTTCTACGAATAAACTCGTCCTTGGCTCGTATCCCAGAATGCACTGCACTCCAGAGTATAGAAACTGCACAAGAGTGTGTAGCTAGCTGATTTTAAGTGCTCAAAGTGTTGTTTAACCTTCAAATATGATTGATTTAGGTAGATGAATTGAGTTAAGGTCTATTCAAAACTTGGCTTTGTTGCCTTGGCATCATGAAAACAGAAAATGTCTTTCCCGTTTCTGTTCTTAACTCACTAAAAGATGACCACTGACACGAAAACTGCTGCTTTATAAGCCCATACATTACCACAGGGGACACAGATATAGTGACTAACTGTTATGAGGTGATAAAAGGAAAGTGCAGTACATGATGGGCCTCACTAATGTGAGTTTTTTTAAAGGCTACACCTGCTAGTCCCATCGTTTTCAGCCATCATCAGTAGCAGTATGTGGAAATTGTCTTTCTTTCACTAATAAACATCAAAGTGAGTGAAGCTGTCTATTTTATGGGCTTTTATTCCAGTTTTCTGATTGTTTAAGTGGCCAAAAGTTGTATTCCCTTGAGGTTTCATCATGCACTGGACAGACTCGAGCTTTTCTATGACCTGTGTCCTCAAACAGATCCTCCCTGATAATAAAAAAATCCCATCTCAAATCTAAAGAATGTTTCACTGGAGGGCTCAGGCTTACTTATGAGGTCATTTGGTGTTTTTAGTGAGAAGGGCAGAACTGTGATGACCCAGGATTAAGAACCTCCATAGAAAGGAGGCGAGCCGACAGCTTAAAAGGAGTCTTTAACCATAAATGCTCAGAGAGGCCGTACCTCAGGCGGCTGCGTGTTGTGGGGGTGATAGAGGCAGTGGGGGAGGAGGAGGAAAGGGAGAGGGGTGAGGAGGCAGCGCTCATGGCCATCAGGGAGGACGAGGAGGCTCCGTCAGAGGCCGACATGTCCCTCTTGATCTCCTCACTGCTCCTGCGCGACACTGCTGACGACAAGAGCCTCAGTGACCTTTTGAAAAAACCCAGCTGTGGAACAAATCTGAGCTCCCCTCAACAGCAACCCGTCGGACCTGAAATGGCCTTAGTGGCGTCCATGTTGGAGACCCTCTGGAGGCCGGTCGTGGGCCGGCTCGACGAGGCTCCCCTGAAGAGGTGCTCCGCTGTGGACACACCAGAATATGGAGGTCATGTTAGCAAGAGGGATTCTGCGGCCCGCTTCCTCTGAATGTGGAAGCATCAGGGGTCGCCGCAGAGCCACATTCCAGGCGCTCTGAGCCCAGGGAACGCTGACGCTCGAGGCCGGTCCGCTCACCGAGAAAACAATAAATCTCAGAAAAGTAAACGGACCGCTGGAGGCTACGGCACAGACTGCACGTTCGCATGATGCTCTTTAACTCATTACTGAGAATCGACGGGGGGGAAGCCGGGGCCTCATTATCTCCCTCTTATCATTCCTTAAGCATACAGGAAACATGCTAAGTTCCGACTCTGGTGGCCAGGAAAGCAGCCCCTTTGTGTCATGAGAGAGGGAACCAGGCTCTTCCCTGAGCAGGACACCTACTTTCCAGAGGGAGCTGTTCCCTCGGATGATAAAAAAAACAAGGCCGTTCGCAGAGGGGGGTGAACTTACCTGGCATGGTTATATCTGTGTAGCTCGGTCTCTTGTCAGCGAGGGATGAGAGAGGCTTGGCAGACGACATAGAGCCAGATATGGAGTGTCTCTGAAACAGTAAGCACCACTGTTTGAACGTTTCATTCAAATCAAACACCAGTTTTATGTGACATCCTTTTAAATAAAAGACGTGGAGTATTTTCCAGATTTCAGAGGCTGTGAAAAGGTGTTTTTGGATTTATGCAGTCTAGGAAATAAATAAATTTAATGAATGATTAGTGTGTGTTTTCCAGGTGTTGGTTTGAGTTCGGGAGCTTGACTAAAGGCAAGTCGACATCTTCTGGAATCTTAAACACGTTTCACCTTAAAAAAACAAGCTGTCAGATGCATTTTTGGACTGTGCCATGTACATTGATGAGGACGCAAAATGAACACAGAGATTTACAGGAAACCCACACACAGACCCGCTTTTCTAAACGTTATCCACAACACAAACTGGATCTCATCACTGTGCACCAGCTAAGACAGAGAAACACCCCTCACACCTGTGGCCGTCCCAGCTGGGCTTTAACCCGATCATCTGAAACATCTGGACTCAACAACTTGCGTTTTTCTTCTCTTCCAGGAAGAGAAGAACATGTTTGTGGTTTTCTCTGTGAAAAAAAAAATTCCTGCTTGGATTTGATCTTCGATGTTAAAAGGCGTTTCATCGAAGTGATAACATGCTGTACTAAAAAAAGTTCTCTCAGACTGGGAATAATCATCAAAATGTCTTTTTTTAAAAGCTGCAAAGTCGAATTTGTGAAGTTGTGCTGAAAGAAATGACAAAAACAGGGGAAAGATAAAAAGTTTTTAAGGAGAAATGTAAAATAAAAGGTAGTTGGAGGGATTCTGGGAGGAGGATTAAATAGAAGCAAACCCAAGTCCTTTCATTTACCTCGGGACAGGACAAAATACGAATAAACACACCTGAATGGGGGAAACAGCAGCTGCTGGGGGCGTCTTCATGGGGCTCGGGCTGAGGGGGGTGCGGGGTAACGGGGGGGCTGAGGCTGTGGGAGCCACCGTGGCTCCATTAGAAGGTGGACCTAAAAAAAAAAATAGGTGGATGGAACATTGTTAAACCAAAAGAGTCATTCTGCCAAATTAACAGCCCTCCAGTAATACACCAAAAGACTAATTAAATGAGCACCTTGTGAGGCACTGTCAAAGCTCTTGATGAGCGTTTTCACAGTGGGCGAGGGCTCAGAGGAGGTGGAGGAGCGCCTGCTGAGGCCCATGCCCTGCCTCAGAGCCGCCAGGTCTCTCTCCACTGCATTCATGTAGTTGTACACTCTCCCACGTTCCTCCTCCTGCCTGGAAAACACGCACTCAGCTCAGGATGAAGCCCCATTGTAACCGAGATTCAAAACTCTGGCGAGGAGCCAGTAAACAAGTCAAAGGGCTCTTCTTTTTGTTTAGGACGTCGGGCTGGCCGCTGGCGCCCTCCCACATGAGGGACTTACTTGCGGCTCTTGACCTCGTCCAGCTCCTTGCTCAGTTTCTCGTTCTTCTCCTGGGCCTCCTGCAGCCGGCGCCGCAGGTCTCCTATCTCCTCCTGCGCCTCCGACTTGATGTCGTTGGCGATGACAACAGCCGTCTGCAGATCGGCCTGGAACTGACGCCACTCCATCGACTCCTCCTGGACCAGCGTCACAAGACAGAGGCTGGGAAGTCAGCGCGCTTTGCACAAGAGTCAGACGATTCAGCTCTTTAAGGACAGACATCTGAAAGTCTATCAATTCAAAGGAGGGGCGACCCAGGTCTGTGTGGGACCCAGAGGTCACTCTGTGGCCGATCCAAGACCAGAAGCACGGCAATGCTGTGGCCCGTTATGAGGCATGTTAGGAAGTTAAGAGGCCGTTAGGAGACCAGTTAGGAGGCAAGTTAGAACACATGTTAGGAGGCCAGTTAGGAGACACATTAGGGAGGAAGTTAAGAAGTTAGGAGACCAGTTAAGAGGCAAGTTAGGAGACAAGTTAGGAGGTAAGTTAGGAGGCCAGTTAGGAGGCCAGTTAGCAAGACACATTAGGAAGCAAGGTAAGAAGCCAGTTAGGGCACATGTTAGGAGACCGGTTTGTAGGCCCATTAGGACGCAGGTGAAGTGGTCTGCTTGAATGTGGAGGTGTTCTCTCATCCACGTGAATAAATATGAGTGGAAATGGCAGAAAGAGTCAGGTTTCATGTGAGCAGAAGTGAGAGAAAAAGCCATGCGAGCGGTGGTTTACACAGCAAACAGAAGGGGCCCCAGCACCAAGCTTTGGGTGACCCCTGATACCAGGAGAGGTGCATGTTTTCCCCGAGCAGGACACATAGATCAGAAATGCATCTGACACTATAATCTAAAACGGCAGAACCTTAAAAACAATCTTTTCTGGATATTAGTCATCTAATTCAAAGCATGAACAGCTGAGAGCTCCCTCAGCTGTTCTCTGGTTATATTCTGGATCTTTGACAAATATATAAAACTACAGAGACCAGGAGGCTAATTTAATTTCTGTCATGGCAGCACCTCGTGGTACCCTCAAAGGCCCTGCTGCTGTACTCCTGTAGTTTGTCCAGTTAGTAAATGGGTTGCATTAGTGTGCCTTTAAGGGCCTCAGGGATGTTTCAAACATGCTTTTACACTGTCAGTTCGAGTTGTAACTTACCCTCAGTCTGCGGTTAAGAATCTTATTCTCTCTTTCCATGTCATGCTTCTGGTCCTGCAGCTTTTTCACTGAGTCTGAAATGGGGAAAAACTCACGTTAACACATTGGTTTTTGTCTCTCACGCTGATGTGTGAATGAGGAGTCGGTTAAGGGGAAATGAGGGCCTATAAATCCATCTGTGGAGCCTGGCTACAGCCTGTTGGCAGCGTGCGCTTACTCTCCAGGTCCGAGATGATGAGGTTGTCGTGGAGTTTGAGAGCTCGGTGCTGCTCCACCTCGTCCTCCAGCTCAAAGATGGTTTCCTTCATGTCGCCGATCTCGGTCTCCTTCTCCTGCAGCTCCACACGCTGCTTCTCCAGCGTCCGCTTCTGCTCGGCCAGCTGCTGCTCCGCCTGCTCCTGATAGCTCCTGTACTCCCTGTCCAGCTGCAACCCGGACGGGAACAGAGCCCTTCATCAACACCTTAAAATCCCTGCAAATTTTTTTTTTTTCCTTAAAACATCTAAAAAAAAAAAAAAGGCACAAATACATGCTCACTGAAGTTAAGATCACAGATATGCGGAGAATCTGCACATCTGGAAGACATTTCTGCAGCCTCAGCATGGACTTTGTGTCTCTCTGGATGTCAGATTTGTTGTGGACTAGATGTTTTACTGGAGAACTTACATAACAGGAGCATTCTTGCTGGAATTGAATCTGTTCTTGGAAAACTGTGAGGCTTCATAGAGTTAAATAATTGTTTTGTGTATTTTTTAAACTTTTATCTAAACTGAAACTGTTTTCTTATGTCTAAACGTCTGGGATATAAAAATGAAGAACGTTTAACATTCTTCAGACTCTGAAAAACTGTTTTTTCAGTGGCCCAGAAACATATGTTCCTCCACTCTAGTTTAAAGTCTTAATTGAGGTCAAACATCTCAATTTAGCTTCTTATTACAGGATTAAATTGAAGTCCCGCTTGCAGGCTCTGAGCTTGTTTTGGTGCTTCCGACTTTCACCAACCTTGCCGAAAGTCTCCTGCAGCCGGCCCAGTTCGCCGTGCGCCTGTTCCAGCTCCTTCTGGGACTTGGCGGCCTTGGCCTCGGCCTCCTCCTTGGCCAGCCGCACCCCCTCCAGCAGCTGGCAGATGTCGTTTTTGTCCCCGGCGCTGTGCAGCGAGTACAGCTCGGCCACCCTCTGCCGCTCCTGGTCCAGCTGGGCTCGGCAGCGGCTCAGCTCCGCCTGGTCACTGCTCACTGCCGCCTTGTACTCGTCCAGCGTCGCCGCCATGGCGGCCCGGTCCTGCCTCTCCGAATCCATGATGCGCTCCATCTGGTGGTTCCTCTCCTTCAGGGCGCCGATCATCTCCTGGGCCTCGGCGTTGTCCTGCTCGGCCATTTTCAGAGTGTTGGACAGGTGCTGCTGCACCCCCAGCAGCTGCTCCCGCTCGAAGCGGGCGTTGTCGCCCAGGTCCGCGTAGCGCTGCTCCAGCTCCATGTAGCGGCCGCTCTTTATGTCCTCCTCCAGCGTGTAGGCCATGTGGTGCTCGTCCAGCAGCGAGCGCAGGTACTCGATCTGCCGGCCGTACAGCTCCAGCTTGTCGCTCTGCTGGCACAGGGAGTCCATGAGGATGACCTTCTCCTCGCCCAGCCGCTCGTTCTCGCCGTTCAGCTCCTGGGTGATCTGCTGCAGGTCGGCCAGCTCCTGCAGCGTGGCCTGGAGCTCCTCCGCAGTGCTGTGCTGGTTCTCCTCCATCTGGTGGATCCGCTCCGTCAGACAGGCCACCGACACCTCGCTGGCGTTGCCGCTGCTGCCTCTCCTCGAGCGCTCGGTGCTGGCCGCGCACTCGGACTCGGAGGAGGAGGACGCTCCGGAGGGGGCGTCCAGGGCGTCGTCGCTGGAGGTCACCGCCTGGTAGACCTCGCTGGATTCGCTGTCCAGGTTGTCCGCCGAGCCTCCGTGCTGGTGTCCTGTGAGGAGGTCCTCCAGCGAGCCGGGGGCAGAGCCCTCCACCGAGGAGGTCAGCGTGCCCGTGCAGACGTGGGCGGTGCCGGCCGCCAGGTCCGGGCTCAGAGAGGAGTAGCTGAAGAGCTTGTCGGAGCCGTCCAGCCTCTGCTCCAGGGAGAAGCCCAGCGCGTTGAGCCGGTCTTTCAGCATGCGGTTCTCGCTCTTCAGCAGGTTGAGCTCCCCTCTGATGGCCTGGTTCTGCTCCTGTAAAAGAATTAGAGTGGACTCCACGTCGGCCGCTGTGATGGCGGAAGCCTGCGGCTTTTCCTCCTCCTGCAGGGACTCCTCCTCGGCCCCCAGGCCCAGCTGGGCCCGCATGTCCCTCAGCTCGCTGCGCAGGTGGAGGATCTCCACATCTTTGCTCTTGGCCAAACCCAATAGGTCTTTTACTTTGACCTCTAGGGCCACTTTATCGCTGATCTGACCATCTGATTTGGATTTGCTCATGCGGCCCTCGGACTCCGGCAGGTTCTGGTTCCGAGAGCGCTTCCCTGAGGCCGCCTCCCCCGCCGCCGTCCCTGATCCCGGCTGCTTCTTAGCGGTCGACGACCTCAATGTTCGAAGGCGATCTCTGGAATTCGGCTCCTTGGAAGTGGTGGATGTTGCGCGCTTTGATAAACTACCTGTAAAGCCAGAAAAAAAAAAAGCTAGTTTCACATTGTTGGAAAAAGACAAAAGTCCGACGAGCATGGAGGACCTTTCGGGTACCTGATGTTGTCTTTGGCTTGGTGTCCAGGTTGCTCACATTGGTGCCAACAGAAGCGGTCCTCTTGGTCTTGGCGACGGCACTATTGGGCGCAGGATTCCCTCCGGCCATGGCTGCTAAAAGATCATCATTGCTTTTCACCTGAAAGACAAAAATGAGGAGACTCACACATGAACAGAGACATAAAACCCCTCTGTGGCCTTCCAGCTGCTGGACGGCTCCTCACCTTCGGCAGAGGGCCGGCCGTGGCGCTTTTGGCTGTGGACTTCCCGCTACCAGAGGCGGCTGCAGCTTCCGGCTTCCCTCGGTCTCCGCTGGCCTTACTCGCCGCTGGCCGGGCCGACTTCTTCATACTGGGCCCTCTGACGCTCACGCATTTACAGCTCGCTGTGTGGAGGAGGGCGGCAGGGAGGAGAAAGTTAATGCGGGTCAGCGTGCAGAATGACGACTGCTCCAGTTTTCCATGAAGAGGAATTCTTTTTCCACAGGGGCTATTCCCCCGGCACTAGAAAGCACTGAGACAGCGAGCAAGGCGGGCAATAAAACCTCTCCCTGCCTAAGATATTTGACATAAAGTTCGGTTGGTAAAGGCTGCTTCTGCATTCCCTCCCGATTGCGCCAAAAATCAAACGGAAATGTTGCTATGAAATCAAAGTTCAGGGGGAACGCTGCTGGAAAACCTCTTGCCAGACCTTCTCAGGTCCAGGTCTGTGGACATACCCTGAATGAGATCCTTCTGGAGGCCTAAAATGCCTCCACTAGATGGCTCTTATGCCTTTCTGACAGTCAAGTAGAGCCGAACTCAAGTGGCGGTCAGCTGCAACAACGAGCGCTCTGATAAGGAGTGTGTGGGTGGTTATTTTGTCAGTGTGTGTGTGTGTGTAAAGAATGGAGCTTCAGTGTAGTGTTTGGCACAAAGAAGGAAGATGGAGGCACAAGAACAATCATCTGAAGGACCAAATAAGGAAAGCATGACTCGTTCGACATCATAAAAAGGCTGAAAAGGACACAGCCAGCGAATGATTTAGCCTCCCAGCTTTGTTCAAACAGCCTGACAACAAGGACAGATTCCCCAAAACAGTCAGAATTGATAATTTTCTTCAACGCCTTTGTTGGGCTGAGATTCGGGCTGTAAATCCAGGCCATGACAGTTTTAAAAAAGCATTTCGGAGCAAACTTGGGAGGGATTTATTGTACACAGGAAGCCCAGCTACGGCCTACCTCAGATTCCCCAGGGCAGAAGCTCGCTGTTTAGATATGAACATAAATATCACAAAGCCCGAGCAGTAAATAAGACTTTAAATAGAAGCCTAAGACGAACGGCAGTCGGACTACAAATATTTAGACAACTCTGAGAGAGAATCTGTTTAAATCTTGGAAGCATGAACACACAAAAGAAGCGAGTCACCGTTTCAGCTTCTGTTATAATCCCACAAAAATCGATTGCACGAGACCCGCGGCTTTCTCTAAAATCCACATCAGGAGATTAAAAGTACCATGGACGTTACATTAAATCAGTCATTCTGCTCGAAATCATCCACTGCGAGTGGAAAAGTCTCTGGAAAAGCCAGCTGTGATCCAGCTGCCGAAGGGAGGTGTAACTGTCAATTTAATGGAGCCAAAACACTCTCTGAATATTGCTCAGAGACATTTTGAAACCCATAACTGTGATGTCAAACACAGTTAAAGGCACCTTTGCATAGAGCTCAGAGCAAAGATGCAGCTATTTGAACAGAAAACTGCGACTCGGGTTGGACTCAGAAAATTACGTCAAACATTTGGGAACACATGGATAAAAACTTAAAACTGAATTTAACCTAAAATGAACAACAAACACTGCGTCTGTATATACTTAACAAAAGTAAGAACACAGAAACAGTGAGAGAAAAACGTCCATCCTTACAATAAATAAGTCAATTAACTTGGTTTCATTAAATAAAGCAAGTTCACGTCACGGTGAAACAGCCAGCAGCTACAGCTCAGACTCTGCAGGCCTCAGTCAGCAGGTTAAAGGTCAAAGGTCATGATGGCACAGTTAGCACAAGAGTGAACAGGTACGGCTTGTTGGTCTGCAGAGCTGCATCTGAACAAAGAGCAGAGCAAAGTGGAGACGTTTGCTCAGAATGCCCAGAAAGCAAACAGCTGTCAGTACGGTGGGGGAGGAATGATGATCTGGGCTTTTTTTTTGTACTAAAGAGCCCCGATATGTAAATCATTACCCAAACAAGTGTCCCAAGCCAGTTGCATCTCTTTCTTGTTTATTAGGACACCACCTCAGCCTCTCCGTGTTTCTCACCACTTATGTCAACACATTTAGCTACAAAAACTGATCCAAACAAATATATTCTGTCTACTCAATCCACTTTTCTTCAACACAAACTTTCTAATGTGAGCTAACACTGAATACTTCATATGTCAATTCAAAGGAAGAGAAAGATGATGATTTGGTGGAAAAACTTCACCTATAAAGTCTTGTTATCCACTTGAAATGTCCTATATCTGATTAGCATTGTAACAGTCATTGAGTCCACCAGGAACTCCTCTGGATCCCAAAGTGTTAAGAGTCAGATGTGAAGCCGTCTGTCCCACAGCTAAAGTTGGAGAGAACTGAGCACAGACCAGAGTTGCAGACCTCAATGGGCTGACGCTACAATGGAAAGAAGAGCGGGCCAAGATTCCTCTGTCATGATGCGAGGCTGATAAAGTCATCCACAAAACGAACACTTCAAGTTTCTGCTGCTCCACGACCAACTGAATCTAGGAATGACACAGTGTTTTATTCATCTGAAGACCCCCTAACAAACACATGAGAGCAGAGCTTTTACAGAGGAACACCAAAAACTAGAGAGCATATAACTTCCAGGTATTCACAGACACTTTGGTTGGAAGTTTTGTTTTAGAAAAAGTGAAAATGTGAGGACTAAAAAACTTTGGTGCTTACAGAGTTGCATTGATGAGAAAAATAAAGTAACAGGAGATACTTTTTCTGCAGGATGATGCACATACCCCCACCCTACAGGCGGGGCCGGGACCCCCGTGTGATTAGAAATCAGATCAAATTTCCTCTGACAAAAAGCTGCTATCGGTATGCCCGGCTTTTTTTTTTTTTTTTTTAAATCGCAGTGTATTTGTCAGAAAGACATCGAACCCAAGACGGACCGGAGAGCCCATATCAAAGCTTTGTCCGCCTCTGGCTGAAAGGACTAATGGAACCGAGGTAATCCTGAGGATGATCCTCGGTATGATTCATTCATTTCTGGTGGTCCTGGTTTCCTTACATCATTAGCTTTGGGGTTTCAGGCTTAAAGGTTTGGGAACCCCTCCCATAGAGCACCAAAGAGCGGCAGCGACTTGATGATTCACTCCTTTAGTTAAGTTTTAAAGGGAAATTAAACAACTCCAGCGTCAGGCAACAGATGAACTAACTAAAAGTCTGTTTTTCAATCTGACCTGCCTGATTTACACTGTATCAGCCCTCTGTTGACAGCACCACTGATCACTACCCTTTTTGATCTTTTCTCACCTTTATCCGTCTTTGGGCACCAGTTGTGCCAGCTGGGTTCTCAGTTTTATTCCTATATGCATGCAATTACTCCTCACACACTGCGCAGGGCGGTTTCTCTAAGCACTGACGTGCACTCAACAACTCGCCAGTTTCTGAATAGCTGAATGTGTGTCAAAACAGATGTCTGAAATGGAGATCAGCTAGCTGGAGCACAGCCCTTTTCACTGAGTCTGAATAGACATGGGACCAACAGAGGAGCTAAATGGGGCAGAGTCAGCAGCTCTTCCTTTTACCTCTGTATTTAAGCATCTGTGATTAATCTACACCACAAACAAGGCTGTGTGTCTTCCTGACCTTTGGGAATTGACTTATTTATATGTAGGTTTGAACATAAAATAAAAACGAACTTTTCGCAAAGATGCAAGCAAGTTGGATTCAAATGGAAACTTTAAACATAAAGGAGCCGAAAAGGTCAAATTTACCAGTGAAACGCAGTTATTCAGTATGTGCAGTTGGTAATAAAACTGTCTAACCTTTCAGCCGTGTAATTCAAGAAGCGCAGGCAAGTTTGAATTCATTCAAATCCAACCCACAGGACCTGAACCAAGTAATAATGAATGCTATGAATGTGATTCAAGCCCCACTCGGGGGACAAGGGAGCACAGTGTTCCTTTTACAGACGGCTGAACAAAAACATGGGACAGAAGGGGGGGGACAAAGAATAAACAGCCGGGGCAGAGGCGGCGGCGGGGGTAGCCATGCCCTTTTGATACCCCTTCCCTTTCCCCTGACTTATTCATGCTTTCACCATGGGGGGGTCCATCTTTGCCATAACATCGGCTTCCTGTGGAGGCGTCTCCCATAAAAAGAAAAAGCTAATTCAAACAAGTCGACTGCGAGGACGAGATGGAAGGCACCAGAATGCCTGAGACGGAGCCGACCTCAAATCCAATTTACAAAAATATGCAAAAGTGGAAAGCCAATGTATCAAATCCTTTAAAAGTCACATGGCAACCATCTTCAGCATGTTAAGGCCTACAACGGCCTTATTAATAAAACACCACCAAAAAAGCCCCCTTTCATTCAAATCACCTGGCATTGATTCTCAGAACCCTCAACTGAATTACTAAAAATATATTTGCCTTCTTCTAAATGTACAATCCAACCCATCTGCAATAATATTCTTTTCCACAGAACACTTTTCTCATTTAAAAAGGTGAAATGTTAACTATTACATCTTTCTAAGCAATTAGGGAAGACTTTAGAGTATTTTGGGGGGGGATTGTGAAGTTTGAACAGAAGCTCTGAAGTAAAAGCCTCCTGTTTGAGGGGGTCAACAAAGCACAGTTGACCCCTTCTCAGCTGGGTGGTACATTTACATTGTTCCTGCAAACAAATGCATTAGCAACAGCACGACTGTTAGCATGTAAAGCTCATTTTAATAGAAATTCACATCTAATCAAAACGTTTTTTATGGAAAGCGGTCGTCCCGCTACACAAAGGAGGTCCAAGTAGGTTTCCCTATAGAATACCTCAGAAAAACTTTTAAAAAATAAAGAAATAACCCAGTTAGCTTTTCAATCAGGAACGCGAGGAATTCCAACAATTCCACTTCCTGTTTGGCTACACACTTTCAAAACAAAAGGACGGGGACGGACAGCTAATTAAAGTGATGACAAACTTTGGTCAAAAACTTTTAAAAATAACAACAAATAAAGACAGAACCAGCCGCTCCTAAACTGTAGTTGATATAGCATTGTGAGTAGTCAGAAATATGGCTTGAGGAGGGCAGCAGAATATCTAAATGAAATGACATATTAAACCGTTAACAGAAATTATTTGCCCTAACTGTTTTTGCCGACTGAGTTTCAAACCTTAATTCACGTGAAAATAAGTAAACTCACCCATTAGTGCAGTTTAAGGAGCGGAAACAGAAGCGGAGATTAGAATTAAACAGAAATCTTGATTCTTGAAAGGGACGTGCCGCGGGTTATTTTGAAAATAATCATTTTAAACTTCATGGTACTTCCGCTAGCTTGACAGCTTCATTAAGAGGTCCTCTATCGGTTAAAATCGGCATTTTCGTTCAATTTAGCGGAAACTAACCAATAAAACAAGTTATTTTGTTAATTTGTTTGACTTTAAGGAGGTTCTTTTACCTCAGCTACTCTCAGAGGCTCCCGTAGCTAATGCTATCGGTAGGCTAACGACGTTAGCATAGCCGGCGAAACGACAACGCTGTGTCAGTTAGTAGTTAAAAACAAATCATACCTGAAGTGCTGCTAATTCCTCCAAGTTGTCAGAGTTGTTAAAGCCCAATGGGCGTCCATTAGAGGCCGAGGCGAGCTAGCTAATGCGAAAACTTGTGAGGGCAGCATCGGTTTTGGATGTCGGCTCCTTTCTGTTGGCAGCACCCAGATGATCCACTGCCCCCTCCTCTGGTTGCATCACCTCAGCATCACTCTCCTCAGGGCAGGAGGGACGCTTCACCGCTGCCGAGATGATTAAATATCCGATTGGACTATTTACTGTGACTCCTAAGGAGCGATGGACTCTTGGTCCTAAAGTCTTTGTCACACACAATAAGCGGTTACACTCACTGCCTAGCGTGAATTCCCCTTTTAGGTTTAAACAGATCTCTCCCACATGAAAACAAATTATTTGGGTTGCAAGGTCTAACAAAAACCTGGATATTGATCATTTAGAACAAATAATTTAAAAAGTCATATCAGGGTATTTCAGATTTATGCAAGAAGACCCTTTTCCTATCAGTTGTCCACTTTATCAGTGAGAAGTCACAATATTCGAGGACTGGACAAGAAGAGAAAGCAAACAAAAAAACAAAAAAGACATTTCTCTGCTTGGATGAGTGGTGCTCGAACAGAAACAACAGCTGTTGTGTCAGATTATCACAATTTGTGTTTCTACTAATGATTTATCAATCTTTCCCCTGAAAGATAAAGCAGGTAAAGAAAAAGAGAGTATAAACAGTGTATTTTCCTTTAATGGACGATACTGCTAATCTCTGTACTTGCTAAAGGTCAGATCATTGCCTCCCAGTGTAACTGCGTGGTTAGATAAGGTGTTTGGGAAGAGTTTAAAGTAAACATTTTGTAAATTTAGAGGAAAAGATTCATACATGTAGTGTTAACCAGAAATATCTCCTTATGGAGGCAAATGAAAGCCAAAGACAACAGAGAACAGGCTGATGTTACCAAATTTTTTATTTACATAATCATACATACCTGACACAAAACCATCTTAAGAGTCACTAAGTTTCTGCTTCTTTACACAGATCAAAGCTGTTACAGGGGGTTACAGTTTGTGCTGACTACTTGTAGTGAGATGGGGC